CAGGGAACTTCTCTCTCACCAGGATGTCCATGGAGATTCTCCATCATCCAGGTCTTGGGCTCAGAGCTGAAGAAGCTTCTTGGATGAGAAGCGAAACATCTTCAGGGACAAACGAAGCCCGGTAGCCATTTGAAAAAATATTTGGGGGATTCTCACTGGAATGTTTATATTTACTACCACATAGGTTGTTCGTCCATCGATTTCGATGAAGACCTTGACATCTTGTGGGTTGTGGGCCATCAACGATGTGTCCGTAGGTGGCTAATAAGACTGATGTCAGCACGGAATGTTCTGCCACATACTGAACAAAAAAGTGTAGACACTGTTACTTCAGCATTTGCAGCTCTGGCTTTGTGGAGTGCTCGTTTTTCTTGTGCCAAGATTGTCCTTCTGTGTTCATATATCTGGCAACCCTGGTACACCAAGGTGAGCCATGTCGGTCGATCATGCGCCAGAAGTTCCCAAGAGATGGTGTTAATATCCAGGGACTTAAGAGAAGCTTTTAACATGTCTTTGTAGACCATGTGTTTTAACGTGTCTATGTGTAGACCACATAGGAAGATCCAGAGGAGAGCATGAAGAAGGAGTCTCTCTCTCTTTTTAATAAATAAATAAAAATTCAGCCTCCCCCTTCATATTTCTTCCGGGAGGGAACGTAAGGAGTGGAACTTTCCCCAATGCAGTTGGAAGAGCTGGCCGGCTAACGAGCAGAAACGCATCTTCAAAGGATCCGGTGCATGTTTGCCGCACGTAGCTTCACATGAAAGGCTTGGCAAGCAGTCAAGTATGGCCGAGAATGCCAATTAGGTGGTGTGCATGAGTGGAGTTTCAGGCACGGGGAAGGGGGGGATGGGGAAAGAGATGGGCGGTGGGCTGTGCGTTGGTGGACACAGGGTAACTTGAGACCCCAGACAAAGGAAGGGAGGCCCGTCTTAGAAGGAGACCCTCCTGCTCAGGATTAAGTCCTGATTGACAAAAGGAACTCTGAGAGCATTTAGCGTAGGTTCACTAGCAAAGAACAGGTAGAACCACGTCGGGCCTGGCTTTTTAAATTCATAAGCGCCGTTCTCCGTGTTTTTACACCATGCAACCTTGCGCTGCGAACTTGCTGCGGGGAATGCATGGAAACACGTCCTGCGTGGGAAGCTGAAATGTGATGCTCCGGAGGCCTTCAAGTATCTTTTGTCAGTTACTCCTAAGGTATAAGTGTCATCCTATGTTTATTCTAAGATCTACTATGTTTATTCTAAGATCTACTATTCTAATAGTAGTTGCTGCTTTTGGAAGCCTCATCCCCAAGCGGCTTTCAGAAACACACAACAGTCTTTTATCCTTGCAAGTAAGGCAAGAGGCAAGCTAGGCCAAAGAACATCTCGTGGGCTTTCTGAATGGTTCAATCAATCAATCAATCAATCAATCAGAATAGAGCTGGAAGGGACCTTGGAGGTCTTCTAATCCAACCCCCTGCTGAAGCAGGAGACCCTACACAATTTCAGACAACTGAAATTGTGCAGCACTCACAATTTCTGGAGGCAGGTTGTTCCACTGGATAATTGTTCTCACTGTTAGGAAGTTTTTCCTTAATTCCAGGTTGGTTCTCTCCTTGATTAGTTTCCATCTTTTGCTTCTTGTCCTGCCTTTGGGGGCTTTGGAGAATAGGTTGACCCCCTCATCTTTGTGGCAGCCCCTCAAATACCAGAAGATTGCTATCATGTCCCCCTAGCCCAGGGGTAGGCAACCTTGGCCCTTTTATGACTCGTGGACTTCAACTCCCAGAATTCCTGGGGAAAGGAGAGGTTTCCATGCTGAGCCATGCTGGCTCAGGAATTCTGGGAGTCATAAAAGAGCCAAGGTTGCCTATCCCTGGCCTAGTCCTTAAATCCTGCAACAGTTCTTCATATGTTTCAGTCTCCAGGCCTTTAACCATCTTGGTTGTTCTTCTCTGCACTTTTTCTCAAGCCTCAACATCTTTTTTGTAATGGGGTAACCAAAACTGAAAACCGTAGTGTTGTTTTGAGATTCTGAGTTGTGCGATTGGAAGCCAGATTTTGAATCCCAAGCTGCTTGGGCTTTTTCTACAACGTGGTCTCTTACATCCATCCATGATCTTGGTTGGTCTTATATTGCTGTTTTGATCACTAAACCTTAGACAGGCACAATTCCTGGATGTCAGAATGATCAGAATAAAATAAATGGCTGTTTCCATGATAGGGAATATGGCTTTAATATTCACTGATTGTAAAGAACAGATCCCAAACAGAGGCCTGAAATGTCTGTAAAAGGGGCCTTACAGACATAACATAGATTAAGAGGAAATTCTCAATGCAGTCAAGAATGTTAATGTTCCCAGCAAGAAAAACAAGCGCGTGCATGGACACTTGTGTGTATTTTTTTTTTTACAAATGTGGAATGTGTTACTTTTTGCTGTTGGACTAGGAACCAGCTGAGTCTACAAAGATACACTATAAGAGAAGAATCCAGGTGTTATATGTGTCTCTCTCAGCTGCCCTAGAGTTACGATCAGTTGTAGACTGGTGGGTGGATGGTTGGACAGATGGCTGGATGAATAGATACAGATAGATGAGAGAGAGAGAGAGAGAGAGAGAGAGAGAGAGAGAGAGAGAGAGAGAGAGAGAGAGAGAGAGAGAGAGAGAGAGAGAGAGAGAGAGAGAATAGGGAGAAAGAGCTAGGGAGATACATATAGATAGGATAGATAAATAGATAGAGAGATAAAGTAGGTAGGTAGGTAGGTAGGTAGGTAGGTAGGTAGATAGATAGATAGATAGATAGATAGATAGATAGATAGATAGATAGATAGAGGTATAGATAAAGTAGGTAGGTAGGTAGAGAGAGAGAGATAGATAGAGATAGATGATAGATAGAGATGGATGGATGGATGGATGGATAGATAGATAGATAGATAGATAGATAGATAGATAGATAGAGTAGGTAGGTAGAGAGAGAGATAGAGATAGATAGATAGATAGATGTGAGAGAGAGAGAGAGAGAGAGAGAGAGAGAGAGAGAGAGAGAGAGAGAGACAGATGGATGGATGGATCGATCTTAAGATTTCATAGGGAAAGAGCCTCAGTCAGCACCATAAGGCAAAACTCTTGGAGAATATTTCAAAAGAAAGAAAGCCATCTGCTTGCATGTTTGGAAGATCTGTTCAAGTTCCTTCTAGAAATTATGTTTTCAGAAGGAACTTAGCCTTTTAACAGAGACCATCCGCGCAGTCAGAAAAACCACAGTTTGGGAGTGGCCCCTAGGAAGAAGGGTCAGGCCTGGGCCCAGCTGGATGGAAACTCCTCTTCTTTTAATCTAATATTCAAGACAAGGAGTGCAGTGATCTTTTTTTTTTCTTTTTCTTTTTTTTGGGGGGGGAGGGTAGTAAATTTTTCAACGGTCTATTGGAGATCATGGTAATTTAGCAATGTGGTGGTTGGTTTGGACGTAGGAGAAGAAAAAGGTTGGCAATAGGAAAAGTCTCCTGTTGCTTCCTTGAAGGGGGCTGAAGAAGGTGGAATCATTGAAAGAAGAGAAACTCTGCACTTCAGGATTGAACTCTGGGGTCCTTGGTTGGGTTTTGGAGGAGGAGGAGGAGGAGGAGGAGGAGGAGGAGGAGGAGGAGGAAGGACTGTGGGGTCCTGGATGCTCTCTGAACTTGGTGGTTTTCTTGCAGACATTTCGTTAGCTAACTAGGTAATGAGTAATCAGTGTTTAGAAACAGTTCCCCATCAGCAGGACAAGACCCTCATTTTATTTCAGCAAGTAGCTCTTGGAAACTCTGAGGAGGCAAAGGTGGGCTTGAGAGGATCTGAATGTGGACCTCTTTTTTTTTAATAGCGCAACCTTGTAACTGCCTGGTGTTTCACTTGTACGCCTCTCTTTAAGTGACATTACTAATTACTAAATTGCTTCTTTTCCCTTCCTTGTTCTGCTGTGAGGGTTCCATTTTGACTCATCCCTGACCTAAATAAGCCAACCTCGTCAAAGTGGCCATAGTTAAACAACTTTTCCAATTCTTGATTTCTTTCGAAGCGGCAAGCTGTGACCGATTCCCAGAAGTTCCTGTTACCTTTTCTGCTGCAATTTTGATTTATGCCCTCATTTGCAAGGAACGTAAAACAGTTCCATCTTCTCCCCAGGAACATGAGCCATAAACATAAACAAAAGCTCTTCAGTTTACTATTAATGGTAGCATTAATTACGCTCCCATCATGGTAGAAGCCAGTGGAAAAATTAAAAAAAAAAAAAAAAGCACCAGGAAATAAACTGCACAGGCAGGGAACACATTAACTCTGTTGGAATGGAATAAAATATGTTCTTCCTATTGACTCAAACACTACTATGTTTTAAAAATTAATGTATTTTTCTTTTCTTTCTTTCTTTCTTTCTTTCTTTCTTTCTTTATTTCTTCCTTCCTTCCTTCCTTCCTTCCTTCCTTGCTTCCTTCTTTTCTCTTCCATCCATCTACCATCTTCCTTCCTTCACCTATCCATCCATCCATCCATCATATTCCTTTCTTCCTTTCTCATCCATCCATCCACTACCTTCCTCATCTATTCATCCATCCCTCCATCCCTCCCTCCCTCCCTCCATCCATCCATCCATCCATCCATCCATCCACTATCTCCCTCCTTCATCCATTCACCCACCATATTTCTTCCTTTCTCATCTATTCATCCGTCCATCCATCCATCATCCATCAACCCTTTCTTTCTCTTTCTTTCTTTCTTTCTTTCTTTCTTTCTTTCTTTCTTTCTTTCTTTCTTTCTCTTCCTTCCTTCTTCCTTCTTTCCTTCCGTCTCCCTCCTTTCCTACTCTCTTTCCTTCCTCCCTCCCTCCCTTCCTTCCTTCTCCCTCCCTCCCTCCCTCCCTCCCTCTCTCCTACTCCCTCTCCTTCCTTCTCCCTCCTTTCCTTCTCTCCTTCCTTCCTTCCTTCCTTCCTTCCTTCCTTCCTTCCTTCCTTCCTTCCTTCCTTCCTTTTTTTTTTCCAGATGATGCCAGCTCAGGAAGGGAGAGTCTGGGACCTGAAAATCCTAACAGTGGATCAGAAGATCAGTTGGGGAAGCTATGGGGTAAGCCTGGATATATCCCCTTCTATCCTCTCTGCCACCCTTAAAGGAGGAAAGAACATCCTCCCCTGGGATTTCAGTTCTGCCAAAGGCAGGACTCACCAACCCTGGGCTTCAGTTCAGCTTGCTTACCACCTCCTTGGAGATGGCTTCCCAAGTCTTCCCACCTGGGGGGCCTCTCCTAAAGGAGGAGAAAAGCGAGGTGAATTTTTTTGCATCCTTGGCTGGTTGCTCTTCCATTTGTGTGATATATATATAGTTTTTGCCACACCGGTACTGCCGTATTTCACATGTTCGATGCAGAAGAACGGTATGCTGAAGAGAGCTCCATCTTTCTGTGTGTCGGAGTGACTGTCTTTTTGTGGCCTTTCAACACCACCTTGCCTCTCTTCCCAGGAGAAGGCCAGCTCAATAAACCTGAACAAACTCCTAAACCTAACCAGAAACCTGCAAAGGGATCCAGGCCGTTCCCTTAAACCGGAAGGCTGTCTGAACTTCTCCCCTGAGAAGCCACACCACAAACGGATCTTCCTTGAGTTTCTTTTGTTCTGTGCATTCCTTGTGTGTGTTCAAGCCAACCTGGAGACCAGCAGTTCAGGTTAAGTCGTGGGCCTCAGGGAACTGAGAATATGGTGGACAGTTTGCTAGACCGATTGGTAATAAAGTTGTTGTTAGTTGCGAAGTTGTGTCTGACCCATCGCGACCCCATGGACCACGTTCCTCCAGGCCTTCCTGTCCTCTGCCATCTTCTGGAGTCCATTGAAGCTCACGCCTGCTGCTTCAGGGACTCCATCCAGCCACCTCATTCTCTGTCGTCCCCTTCTTCTCTTGCCCTCCATCTTTCCCAGCATCAGGCTCTTCTCCAGGGAGTCCTTCCTTCTCATCAGGTGGCCAAAGGACTTGAGTTTCAGCTTCAATATCTGGCCTTCTCAAGAGCAGTCGGGGTTGATCTCCTCTAGGACTGACCGGTTGGATCGCCTGGCAGTCCAGGGGACTTGCAGGAATCTTCTCCAGCACCAGAGTTCAAAGGTCTCCATTCTTTGGAGCTCAGCCTTTCTTACGGTCCAACTTTCACAGCCATACGTTGCAACTTCCTTCCTTTCTTCCTTCCTTCCTTCCTTGCTTCTTTCCTACTCTCTCTCCCTCCTTCCTTCCTTTCTTCTCCCTCCTTTTTTCCTTTCTTTTTTTCTTCCTACCTTCCTTCTTTCCCATTCTCTCTCCTTCTTTCCTTCCTTCTCCTTCTTTCCTACTCTCTCTCCTTTCCTTCCTTCCTTTCTTCTCCTTCTTTCCTACTCTCCTTCCTTCCTTCCTTCTTTCCTACTCTCTCCTACTTTCTTTCTTTCCTTCCTTCCTTCTCCCTCCTTTCCTATCTCTCTCTCCTTCCTTCCTTCTTCCTTTCTTCTCCCTCCTTCTTTCCTATACTCTCTCCTTCCTTCCTTCTCCTTCCTTCCTTCCTTCCTTCCTCTCTCCCTCCTCCTCATCCCTCTTTCTTTTTCTTTCTTTCTTTTTCTCTATCTTTCTCTCTCCTCCTCAATCTCCATCCCTCCCTGTCCTCTTTCCCTGCCTCCCTCCCTCCTCTCCTGTAACTTTCTTTCTCCTCCTTTCTTGCCTTCCTTTTTTTTCTTCTCTTTTTCAAAGAGAGACATTTCACAACTGTTTAACTGGAGATCTGGTTTTGGCCTATCACACCAAAGAAGGGAGAGCAGCTTCCAAGGGGAACGTAATCACTTAACCCATTTCAAAGGGAGAAAGAAAGGAGAGGAGAGGAGGCAGCCACAGAGATATAGTCTTACCTCCTGCTTTTTAAAAGTGTGTGTGTGTGTGTGTGTGTGTGTGTGTGTGTGAGAGAGAGAGAGAGAGAGAGAGAGAGAGAGAGAGAGAGAGAATGACTAAACTAAAGGCCTGAGACAGGAATGAAGAGGGAGGCAGCTCAGAGGGCCCTGTTTGAAGGCTGATTGTTCTCCCAGGAGCAGGAAAAGCTGGTCTTCTATTCTCTTATGGAGCAAAAAGAAACCTGAGAATTTTTTTTTTAAGTTTTTTATTTATAAAACAGTTAAAACAAAGGTGGACATAACGTAACATTCCAGTGTATATATTCCTAACAACTTGTTCCTCATCCTACAGATAATTCTCAATCTCTCTATATACATATTTTTCTATACAATACAGTCTTTCATTTGTTTCTCTATATACTAACCTACAGTTGTATGTATCTCTGCCTTAACACGAACTTAAAACCCGAACAGTTCTCCTTGATTCACACCAACAAGAGAATTTGTCCCAGATTTCAAAGTAATCTGACTCTTGAGAATTCTTATATCCGTTCAGAAGCAGGAGTTGGCTTGCTTGCCTTGCAGCCTACCAGCAGATCTGTGCGGGGGCAGGCATATGGATGGATGATTAACTTAATTCACTCTCACAGGACCCTGGCATAGTCCACGGAGGGTTTTCTCACCGGCTTTCAACGTTTGCAGTGAAGGAAATCAAACTCAGGCTGTTGAAGTCCAGACATCTTGATGTTGCCACGTTTGAGAAGCTCTGCTGTGGACGCTTCTCCTGCCTGTATCGGTAGAGGAGTAGCACAATAACAAAGCTGGAAGGGACCTTGGAGGTCTTCTAGTCCAACCCCCTGCTCAGGCAGGAGACCCTAACAGAATCATAGACCAGTGTTTCCCAAACTTGACAATTTTAAGGCATGAGGACTTCAACTCCCAGAATTCCACAGCCAGCTGGCTGTGGAATTCTGGGAGTTGAAGTCCTCATGCCTTAAAATTGTCAAGTTTGGTAAACACTGTCATAGACTAAGAACAGTTGGAAGGGACCTTGGAGGTCTTCCAGTCCAACCCCCTGCTCAAGCAGGAGAACCTAGACCATTTCAGACAAATGATGGTCCAGTCTCTTGTTGAAATCCTCCAGAAGCAACTTCTGGAGGCAGGTTGTTCCACTGGTTAATTGTTCTAACTGTCAGGAAGTTTCTCCTTAGTTCTAGGTTGCTTCTCTCCTTGGTTAGTTTCCATCCGTTGCTTCTTGTCCTGCCTTCAGGCGCTTTGGAGAAGAGCTTGACTCCCTCTTCTTTGGGGCAGCCCCTGAGATACTGGAGCACTGCTGTCATGTCACCTCTGGTCCTTCTCTTCATTAAACTAGACATACCCAATTCCTGAAACCATTCTTCATATGTTTTAACCTTCAGTAACCCAAAGTCTAACAGATAACATTAACAGGTGCTGGCCTAAAAACTAGGAAACTGAGTCCTAATCCTGCTTTAGGCATGAAAGCCGGCTAGTTGACTTTGGGCCAATCACACTCTCTCAGTCCAGTCCACCTCACAGGGTTGTTCTTGTGAAGAAAATAGGAAAGAGTCTTAGTTATGTTCATCGCCCTGAAGCTTCAAAAGGTGGGGTAAAAATAATAATAATGAATGAATTACAGTTAGTCCTCGACTTAACAGCCATTCATTTAGTGACCGAAGTTACAAAAGCACTGAAAAAAGTGACGTGACCATTTTTCACACGACCATTCTAGTATCCCCATGGTCAGGGGTAGGCCACCTGGGCTCTTTTGTGACTGGTGGACTTCAACTCCCAGAATTCCTGAGCCAGCCTGGCTCAGCTTGGAAACCTCTCCCTTTCCCCTCAGCATGGCTGGCTGGGGAATTCTGGGAGTTGAAGTCCACCAGTCATAAAAGAGCCAAGGTTGCCTACCCCTGGGCTAGGCCCCTTCATGACTTGTGGACTTCAACTCCCAGAATTCCTCAGCCAGCATGGGGGAACTATGGCCCCCCTCATGACTGGTGGACTTCAACTCCCAGAATTCCTGAGCCAGCATGGGGGAACTATGGCCTCCTCATGACTGGTGGACTTCAATTCCCAGAATTCCTGAGCCAGCATGGCTCAGCTTGGAAACCTCTCCCTTTCCCCTCAGCATGGCTGGCTGAGGAATTCTGGGAGCTGAAGTCCACCAGTCATAAAAGAGCCGAGGTTTCCTACCCCTGGCCTATTTGAATCCCACTACTGGATTGTGGTCCTATTTAATGTAGGTCAATGGTGGCCTGCAGGGGTTCCACCAAGAAGCAACTTGACGGATGCCGGATGGACCACCTTGGAGGGCAGCGTTTCTGCTGCCTCCCCTCTCGAGATCATCGGGGAAAGACCTCCCCCTGCATTTGCACACCCATCTTTCCCGACAGAGCTAGGATGTCACACTTGTCCCTCCAGCTGTCCGCTCCGTTCCTTCATTAGGTTACACATGAAAGCCTCGGAGCGAAGCCCTTCGGCGCAAAGCAAGACGAAGAGACTGAAATCAAATCTCCCGAGGTGGCCGAGACCCAGAAGGTTGAGATTGGGTGGAGATGGAGGCATTTGTTCTTGCTTGCTTGGGCTCAAAGCATTTTTCGGGGGCAGAAGGAGACATCCAGCTGGGCTCCCCCTTGCATGCATTTGAAGTATGAGGTTGGGGAGGGGTGGAGCAGGGAGGGGAACGGGGTGAACCAGGAGAGAAGGCCTCTGCTTTGATTGATACTGACTCCCACAGCAAGAGATCTGTGTATCAATCCATCAGAATAGAGCTGGAAGGGACCCTGGAGGTCTTCTAGTCCAACCCTCTGCTCAGGCAGGAGACCCTGTCCCATTTCAGACAGGGAGCTGTCCAGTCTCCTCTTAAAAACCTCCAGTGATGGAGCACCCTCGACATCTGAAGTGTCGATGGAGATTCTCAGTCCTCCACGTCATAGTTGTCCCCAGAGATGCTTTTTCACGAGGCAACTGGACTTTCTTGTTTTTATTGGAAGATGTTTCTCTTCTCCTCCAAAAGGCTTCTTCAGCTCATCCAAGACGCTTCTTCTTCAGAGCTGACTTTCTCACAATTTGCTCCTATTATTCCTCACAAAAATAGCTCTGGCTTGAAATCTATTTGTTTTTTAGTCATTTTCTCCAACCATAAATATATTTTAACCCAAAATCTTTTTGCTGTAGGGCATGTCCACCAGATATGATAATAAGTACCCGGTCTTTGCATTTCCAACAGTTGTTTGAAGTATTTTTAAACATTTTTTGCTAATCTGCTAATCTACCATTTTCTTTTTGAGATCCGAGAAAGGGCCTCAAAGATAGTTCTGCATCTCTGGTCCTCCAAATTCTAGACCGGGGATAGGCCAACTTGGCTCTTTGATGACTGGTGGACTTCAACTCCCAGAATTCCTGAGCCAGCTGTGCTGAGGGGAAAGGGAGAGGTTTCCAAGCTGAGCCAGGATGGCTCAGGAATTCTGGGAGTTGAAGTCCACCAGTCATGAGGGGGGCCATAGTTCCCTCATGCTGGCTTAGGAATTCTGGGAGTTGAAGTCCGCAAGTCATGAGGGGGGCATAGTTCCCCTTTGCTGGCTCAGGAATTCTGGGAGTTGAAGTCCACCAGTCATGAGGGGGGGGCATAGTTCCCTCATGCTGGCTCAGGAATTCTGGGAGTTGAAGTCCACCAGTCATGAGGGGGCCATAGTTCCCTCATGCTGGCTCAGGAATTCTGGGAGTTGAAGTCCACCAGTCATGAGGGGGCCATAGTTCCCTCATAGTGGCTCAGGAATTCTGGGAGTTGAAGTCCACCAGTCATGAGGGGGGGGGCATAGTTCCCTCATGCTGGCTCAGGAATTCTGGGAGTTGAAATCCACCAGTCATGAGGGGGTCATAGTTCCCTCATGCTGGCTCAGGAACTCTGGGAGTTGAAGTCCACCAGTCATGAGGAGGTCATAGTTCCCTCATGCTGGCTCAGGAATTCTGGGAGTTGAAGTCCACCAGTCATGAGGGGGCCATAGTTCCCTCATGCTGGCTCAGGAATTCTGGGAGTTGAAGTCGTCATAAAAGAGACAAGGTTGCCTACCCCTGTTCTATCTAGACCCTCCATTAATTCCATCTTTTTTCCATTCAGGCGATTTTCTCTTCTCTGGGCCCTGACAGCTGTCAGACAGCGCTGCTGAGATGAAGCTGCTTCTCCTCAGCCTGATGAAAAGGGTTATCAGCATATAGTCAACACCTTAACTCCAGCCTATCAAACCATCTTTCTCCAGGGCACCCCTCCCAACCTCACAATCTGAGATAATCCTCCGTCATCACAATCTGTGGTGCCACTTGGGGAAAAATAGATTCCACAAGTGCCACAGTCAGATAACAGTAGCCTGCCCCGCTGAAAGGCGATGATAGGTTGAGTCAATCCGGCGCAAATGGATTTCCTTGGTTTCATCAAGATAACCCAGGCCATCTCAACCTGATAGCCAGATTAGAAAGCTGACAGAAGAAGATTGGACAGGTTACTTGGACCCCTAGTAAGGTGTTCACTCCAACGATGAGGAGGAGTTGAAAGGGGTAGAACATTGCTCCAACATGGGCTTATCTTCAGCCTTCTGCATTGAAGAGAAGTTATACTTTGCCTCCAGAATAAAAAGAGTATATAATAGAATAACAGAAGGGACCTTGGAGGTCTTCTAGACCAACCCCCTGCTCAAGCAGGAGACCTTAGACCATTTCAGACCTGTCATGCCTCCATCGGAGAACAGGACCCTACGGAGGCCGAGGGAGGGGTGTCTATGGCTTCAGAGGAATGTGGGGAAGAGCAGGTTGAGGCAGGCCAGGGCCCTTCAGGAGTGGAACAGGATGAACAGGAGAGACAGAGCTCAGGCAATGAGCCAGGGCCACCACCACCCTGATCCTAGAGCATGGAGAGTGGAGAGAAGGAGGGAACAACGCAGGCAGGCTCAACTACTCGGGAGGAGAGCGTCCCGCCCCTCTCCAAAGGCATACCTGGAGACTGAGATGTAAGAAGATACTGTGGAGAGGGGCATTTGTTGGGAACAAACGCTGATTCCTTGGAGTTTTGTGTATGTTGTTGCTCATCTCTTGTTCTCTGACTTCTGCTTGGAAACCCGGAAACTCTGACCATTGGACTGGCTGACACCGTTGCTTGGATGTTCAAAGATCTTGGACTGTATTGTGCCTTCCCTTTTCAAACTGCTCAGGCAAGCGTGTCTTCACACAGACTGGTTAGGTTTATGATGTATGTGTCATTCCTTGTTATCTCCATGGCCTTGAGTAAATTCCTCTCCCAATCAGACTGTATGTGAAACTACTTGCAGCCAGAGGCGGCTGAAGGTGTGTGTGTCTTCCTTTGTTTGGAGGCTTGCCAGAAACGTGGGAGCATTTGGGGAAAATTTGGAGCAATTAAAGGGCGGTTTGGATTGCCAGCTGACTGCATTGCCTCGGTGCTGTGCCCTGGGTCATCACAGCACGTTTGGGTCTTTGCTATGAGTTTAATGATCTTTTTCCTCAAGGATTCTTTTTCCAATAAGAGAATAGCAGAACTGGAAGGGACCGTGGAGGTCTTCTAGTCCAACCTCCGAAGCTTTGCTTATGCTTTGCTTCTTTTTACAGCTCGACCGAGATTCACTCAGCCTGCGAAGATGAGGCAACGTGTGATCGCCCGGCCGGTGGGCAGTTCGATCCGACTCAAATGTGTGGCCAGTGGCAATCCCCGGCCGGATATCAGCTGGCTAAAAGACAACAAGCCTCTGACCTCGCAGGAGATTGGCGAGAACAAAAGGAAGAGGTGGACTCTCAATTTGAAGAACCTGAAGCCAGAGGATAGTGGGAAATACACCTGCCGTGTCTTCAACAGGATGGGCGAAATCAACGCCACCTACAAAGTGGAAGTGATCCGTAAGTATTAACTGACAGCTGGGCGTGACGAGTTGTCCCTCAACAAGTTGGCAAAGCCTCTGGTCCTGAGCACATTAGTCCAGCATCAAGACTCTCATCCCGGGGAAGAGAAGCTGCTTCTGAGGAAACAAGATGAGGGATTCAGACGTCATCCTGAACCCAATGATTTCAAACTCAGTCTGCGTCTGATTAGATAATGGATTCTTCAAGCTGTGAAAAAGTGGGCAAGCTTTGTGGATGCAACTGTACGGGGCCTCCATATAACATAGCTATCAAAAGCTTTGCTTTTTGGTCAGGCAGGCCTGTAGACCAGGGGTCTTCCAACTTGGCCCTTTTATGACTTGTGGACTTCAACTCCCAGAATTCCTCAGCGTGCCTGGCTGAGGAATTCTGGGAATTGAAGTCCACAGGTCATAAAAGGGCCAAGTTTGAAGACCCCTGCTATAGACGGAGGGTTAACTATTGGTAAGACCTAAAACCATGACAGAGTCCAAACTTTCAGAAGGTCTTAGAATAGAATAACAGAGTTGGAAGGGACCTTGGAGGTCGTCTAGTCCAACCCCCTGCTCAGGCAGGAAACCCTATACCATTTCAGCCAAATGGCTGTCCAGTCTCTTCTTCAAAACTTTCAGTGTTGAAGCATTCACCGCTTCTGGAGGCAAGTCGTTCCACTGGTCGATTGTTCTCACTGTCAGAAAATTTCTCCTTATGTCTAGGTTGCTTCTCTCCTTGGTTAGTTTCCATCCGTTGCTTCTTGTCCTGCCTTCTGGTGCTTTGGAGAATAGTTTGACTCCTTCTTTTGGGGGGCAGCCCCTGAGATACTGGAACGTTGTTATCATGTCCCCCCTCATCCTTCTCTTCATTAAACTTAGACATGCCCAATTCCAGCCACCGTTCCTTATATGTTTTAGCTTCCAGTCCCCTAATCCTCTTTGTTGCTCTTCTCTGTACTCTTTCTAGAGTCCCAACAACTGTTTTACATCACGGTGACCAAAACGGGATGCAGTATTCCAAGTGTGGCCTTACCAAAACATTGTAAAATGGTATTAATACTTCACATGATCTTGATTCTATCCCTCTGTTAATGCAGACTAGCACTGTGTTAGCTTTTTGGTCACAAAAGGGAATCACGTAATCTAGGGACACTAGATGAAATATGAGTCAGTTGCCAAGCGGCCAAATATTGATCACGTGACTACAGGGATACTGCAGTGGCCATAAGTGTGAAAAATGGTTGTAAGTCTCTTTTTTTTTCAGTAACGTTTTGTCCTTAAAACGAATGCGGAAAGTGTGCTCCAAAGCCGACGTCTCCAGTCCGAGGACTTGAAGCAGCCCATCAACGATAACATTTTCAGTTACATAAAAATGTGAATGAAAAGCACAGGTGGAGGATGCAGATGATACAAGACTGTCCCACATCTGGGACTGATAAAGGCGCAGCTGTGCGGAGTAGTAAAAACATGTGTTTACATTAAAACCAGGAGCAGAAACAGGGAAATGAATCAAATCTCAGCTCCGTGTAGGATATGTAGCCTGTAGCATTTCCCCCCCCCCTCATCGAAGCCAGGCGGGTGTTGATCACAGCTATGCTCTTCCCATTTATCTTGTGTTCGTTTGGAGATAAAGAAGGATAGACCATCTTTCTGTTAACCTTTACAGCAGGGGCATAAATTGCCAGATTTTTGTTATTAAAGAGATTTGAAGGGTGATTACCCTTTCGTGTATCCTAAGGTTAAAGAAGAGATTTATCGTCCAATGTTCTGGCTGTTTTGACTGAGCCGTTGGGCTTTTGTCTGGCTCATCTGCCTGTGAAAATATAGTTTTTCCCAGAGTTGATCCTCTCCATTTCCAAGATCGTTTTGGTGTACTTGGCAGGCTGCATCTTACGATCCACACTTTCTTCGCTGGAACGGCTCTGCAGTTCTCCTTCAATTGGTAGAACTTGTCTGGCTTTTATTTCAAAGATCAGGAGAACGACGGTCCTGCGGGAGCTGTCCTACCAGATATATATGGGAAGCAGAACCATTTTTGCCAGCAAAATAAAAATCCAGCTTGAATTTGCCATCAGTCTTGCTTGCAAAGTAGGAATCAGTGGGATTGATAGATTTTTTATTAAGACACATAAGCTTTGTGAACTATAATTCTTTTCATCAAATGCACCGGGGGGGGAGGGGAGAGGAAGGCAGGTTGCTTAAGCAGGTGCAGGATAAGAGTTATGCTATGTGTTGAAAAAAAACCAATTGAGTGATACTAGCTTCTAATTTAGAAAGGGTTGAGTTAATTCAATTAATTAATTGACGCTACGGAAGATTAACACACCTTGTGGATTCTTTTGGAACTTAGCTTCTGGATGCCTTTGGTTTCTTTAGAGAAGGACTGGATGCTGGCAGTGAGAACAATTAACCAGTGGAACAGCTCCCCCCCCCAGAATTTGTGGGTGCTCCATCACTGGAGGTTTTCAAGAAGAGACTGGACAGCCATTTGGCATAAGATCTCTTGGAATAGAATAGAGTAGAGTAGAATGCAGAGTAGAATAGAATAGAATAGAATAGAATAGAATAGAATAGAATAGAATAGAATAGAATAGAATAGAATAGAATATAGAGTAGAATAGAATAGAACAGAACAGAACAGAACAGAACAGAACAGAACAGAACAGAATAGAATAGAATAGAATAGAATAGAATAGAATAGAATAGAATAGAATAGAATAGAATAACAGAGTTGGAAGGGACCTTGGAGGTCTTCTAGTCCAACCCCCTGCTCAGGCAGGAAACCCTATATCATTTTAGACAAATGGCTGTCCAGTCTCTTTTTAAAAACCTCCACTGTTGGGAGCACCCACAATTTCTGGAGGCAGGTTGTTCCACTGGTTAATTGTTCTAACTGTCAGGAAGTTTCTCTTTAATGCCAGGTTGCATCTCTCCTTGATTAGTTTCCATCCGTTGCTTCTTGTCCTGCCTTCAGAGGCTTTGGAGAATAGCTAGACTCCCTCTTCTTTGTCGCAACCCCTGAGATACTGGAACGCTTCTATCATGTCCCCCCTTGTTCTTCTCTTCATTAAACTAGACATTCTTGATTCCAGCAACTGTTCTTTAGAACTTTTTAGAAGATCATTATGGTCCTTTCCAGCATTGTTATTCTGTACTCTGTATCACATGCACGACTTAGACAATTCTTAATCAAAAGAAAACTTGCCTGTATTCATTTCCAGAGAGGACACGATCCAAACCCATCCTTACTGGGACACACCCGGTGAACACAACTGTGGACTATGGAGGAACAACCTCATTCCAGTGTAAGGTGAGGAGTGACGTTAAACCGGTGATCCAGTGGTTGAAGAGAGTGGAATATGGCACAGAGAGCAGATACAATTCCACCATTGATGTCGGCGGGCAGAAGTTTGTGGTGCTTCCCACCGGTGATGTTTGGTCTCGTCCCGATGGCTCCTACCTGAACAAACTCATGATCTCACGTGCCAAGGAAGAAGATGCTGGCATGTACATTTGCCTAGGGGCAAACACAATGGGGTACAGCTTCCGAAGTGCGTTTCTTACCGTGTTACCAGGTGAGATATTTGTTTCACCCTGTTAACCATTGGGTCTTCCTTCAATTGTATTTATTTTGTTAATTTTGCTTTCTTAAGCTTAAAGCTATTGCTTTTGCAGCTGAATTTTGAGCTCTGAGCATATATCAGACAATCCCCTGTCTGAGATGATATAGATTCTCCTGCTTGAGCAGGGGGCTGGACTAGAAGACCTCCAAGGTCCCTTCCAGCTTCTATTCTATTCTATTCTATTCTATTCTATTCTATTCTATTCTATTCTATTCTATTCCATTCCATTCCATTCCATTCCATTCCATTCCATTCCATATTTTCTATTCTATTCTATTCTATTCTATTCTATTCTATTCTATTCTATTCTATTCTATTCTATTCTATTCCATTCCTTATTCTATTCTATTCTATTCTATTCTATTCTATTCTATTCTATTCTATTCTATTCTATTCTATTCTATTCTATTCTATTCTATTCCATTCCATTCCATTCCATTCCATTCCATTTCTTATTCTATTCTATTCCATTCCATTTCTTATTCTATTCTATTCTATTCTATTCTATTCTATTCTATTCTATTCTATTCTATTCTATTCTATTCTATTCTATCGCCTATTATTCTATCGCCTATATCCAATCCACTCAAGTCGACATTGGCTAACATTTCCACTGGCTTATATTGAGAACAGCTAAACAGACCTAATTTTCAGCTGCTACAATTATCCTGGAAAATGCTTCTTAACCATACCTTGGCCTGGGAAATGAATAAATGAATATTTATTCATCTCCTGTAGAACAGGAATTGGAAACTCATCAACGTCTGAGATGAGCAGCTCAAGCTAAATCTGGTCCATGTCCCATCTACTTGCTTAGAAAGAAAATTAGGTATGGATTCCTGTGCCCAGCTGCTAAAGAGTTTTGCATGCAGCTTTTTATAATTTATGCTCAAATAGCTGTCTGAAAAGGAAGGCCCTTTTTGTATTTGAAAGACACGCTTTTTATCCTTTATTTCAAGTTGAAATTTGCAGAGTTTGTAATTTAGTTGTCTTTGGGTGTCAATCCCCTTTATGAGCACCAAAGATTTATACCTGGTTGGCTTTTTATTCTAGCACAGTGGTGGCGAACCTATGGCACGGGTGCCAGAGGTGGCACTCAGAGCCCTCTCTGTGGGCACGTGCATTGTAGCCCCAGTCCTAGGCCTTCAGCTGGGTTTTATAAAACCTTTTCGCTTTAGGCCTCCGCCACCATGTGCAAAAAAAAAAAAGGTTCAATCAGTCAATTTCAACTTCTCCTGGGGAAAAAAAAAGTTCTTGCAAAGTTGGAATTGATTGATTGAACTTTTTAGTCCCACCCAGTCTGTCGTTACCACCGCAGCCACGCCCACCCAATGGACCACGCCCACCCCATGGGTCACACCCACCCGGCACTCGACGATGCATAAGTGGGTTTTGGGTTGCAGTTTGGGCACTCAATCTCTAAAAGGTTCGCCATCACTGTCCTAGCAGATCTGATCCAAGATGTGTCCCACAAGTTTGGCACATGAAAACAGAAGCATTGCTTTTATTCAAAACCTGGAAAAAGCAATGTTTTGGAGTGGAAATGAACGTTGTTGTCTACATACAACTGTTTAACCTTCTACCCCAGGGGTGTCAAACTGCCGGCCTGCGGGCCGGATGCATCATAGTGGAACCGCACCCACCCCATTGCCGGCAATGGCAAAGAAAGCCGCGATACGTCACAACACGTCACATGACGTTGTGAGTTTGATACCCCAGACCAAAGTAAGTCATTTTAGCAATGGATTATCAGTCCTTGATGCTCTCTGCGCTTGGTGGTTTTTCTTGCGGATGTTTCATTAACCAAACTAGATAACATCATCAGGACACACACACACACACACACACACACACACACACACACACACCTCATTTCAACCCTGAACCCTATTATCAGTTACAGTGACCACCAGGGGGCACCACATGACCAATTTAATCCTTACTGGGACTCCTCAGAGGCGGTGGCCCTTATTCTGTGGAGTTCAAACCAGAATACTAGAAATTGAACCAGTCAACTTTGGCGCTGTGTTTTATGTTTTGGGAAACTAACGAGATATTGGAATACATTCTTCCGAATCCTTCAGTTCCACCTCAGTGTCTGCTTTGAAATGGCTGAAAAAAAGACGCCAAATCAGATGTAATTCAGGGAGGTGGAGGCCAAACCCAGTTCCATATTTTGACACTTTCTCTCCTGGTTCTAATCCCATCCCCTCAATTGTTTTTGTTCTTTCCATCCTGCAGATCCCAAATCGCCAAGTCAACCCCTGGCACCTTCCTCTACCAGCAGTCTTCCATGGCCGGTCATCATCGGGATCCCGGCGGGGGCTGTCTTCATCTTTGGGACCATCGTTCTCTGGCTCTGCCAAACCAAGAAGAAGCCATGTTCTGCTCCAGCTGCTACTCCGGGACATAGGAGCCAGCCTCGCGACCGGGTCTGCACAGCCCAAGTCTCCGATAAAGACTGCTTGTCCTCCATGAACTATGAGGAATATGTAGCTCAGCAGCAGCATTTGTTGACCCAGGGTCCAGTCCTGGCTTCCAGCGCGCCTTCTAAAATGTACCCAAAGATTTATACAGACATCCACACCCATACCCATTCCCACGTGGAAGGCAAGGTACACCAGCACCAGCACATCCATTACCCGTGTTAAAGAGGTCCGCCATTTTAGAACGTTGTGATGCGAATCGCTTTGGATCAGCCGAAACGGCTGGGAAACTGTGGGGAAAATTAACCCGACACAACCCAACGAAACATGGTGCGTTGTCCGGGGTGTGTTGTTACTGGGACCAGGAGTAATGAAGGAATTCCCAAATGGCAAAGACGTTCCTTTAGAAGCCCGCTTCATCTTGGAGAAAAAGCTGCTTCAGTGGCCTGCTATAACCCTACAAGGTCAAGAGGGTTCGATCCGACTCCATCTCCTCAAAGCCAATCGCACAACGCCAAAGTGCCAATGCAAAAGGGAAGCGTTTGAGTGGCCTTATACCAAGAAAATGGATGGATGAGTGTGTGGGGTTGTGTGTGTGCGTGTGTGTTTGTGGGGCGGTGTGTTTCAAGTTGTGAAGCCAAGAAATGCTGCCTTAGAGTTCACAATCACCAAACTCCTCAATCGCTAGAAAGCCTTCTGACCCCAAAACGAAGAACAATGTATGGCTCACTTTTATATTTATATTTAATTATGATCATGATGAATTGATAAATGATGATGATGATGATGATGATGATGATGATGATGATGATGAACTGGAACTGCCGACTTTTTAAAAATTTAGGACCAGGATGGTATGCAAGGATATGGAGGTTCACAAAAGTCAGGATGGTGGCCTTTAAAAGGGGTGGGACTTTGGTCTCCTGTTTAAGGTCACCATGTCAATGAAGGCCACCATCTTGATGTTTTTGACTCCCTCCGTGCCCCTTCCCCAGCCTCGTATTCTTCCCTTATCTGGGGTGTAAACCTCGTCATCAGATTTTTCATGGATTATAGCAGAAGAACTTCTTCGTGACAACACAAATAAGTGGAAGTGTCTTGAAGCAAACGAATGTCCGTTGTGTCTCAGGAACAACTCATTTCTGTAATACGACTTGCAGGTCGAGAGAGACACGTATTTCACTTCATTTCTAAGGGGAGAAACAGGCAAAATGTGACTGTATTAAAATGGAGTCAAGGCAGATTCAGTTAAAAAAGAAAAGAACGTAAACTTTAAAAAAAAATCTATATAGAGTTTAAGCGAAAATCGTGTATATTTAATTTATTTTGTAAAATGTATATTTTCTTCCGATGTAAGCATTTCTAAATCCTATCTTTGACCACGAATTTATTTTCGCCCAGGCTCTCAAATACGAGGAAAATAATGTTTAATCGGGATCTCGACTGCCCTATGCTTGCAGTCCTTCAAAGGGTAAACCATCTTGTGATATTTGGATGCAAGCTCCGCCCCTTTTATATTTGCATGCACTATTGTGATACAAGTACACAAAGGGAGAGCTTGATATTGTGAGGTCACGGTGCACGGTTTATCCTTCTGAAGTCATCCGAATTAGGAAAGGCACCTTTATGCTATTGCTCATCATTTTCTAGGCCAGGGGTTCTCAACCTTGGCAACTTTAAGACTTGTGGACTTGTAGCTGGCTGAGGAATTCTGGGAGTTGAAGTCCACAAGTCTTAAAGTTGCCAAGGTTGAGAACCCCTGTTCTAGGCAATCCTCTTGTTGGTTCAACAAAACGCGACCTTGCGGTTTTGTTCCAAGAAGCCATTGTTTGTTTTCTAGCTTGAAAAACAAGCAAAGTTCTGTCACTGAAACAAGAGGGGTTTTTAAATGAAATAATCCTACAGTGGCACATGGCAGAACCAAATATGAAGAAGAATTTCCATGGCAAGGTCATAACTGATGCCCAAGGATTTCAACTCATGAGGTTGGAGCTATTAAATGTTTCGCCCTGAAGAATATTAGATTAAGATTAGCTTTAGGAATTAAGCTTAATGAAGATTAAGAATGCTATCATCGTATCCCATTGCATTTCATCATGGGAGGTTTTCAAGAGGAGACGGGACTGCCATTTGTCCAGGATGGTAGAAGAAGTCCTCCTGAATGGGCAGGGGGGTGGACTAGAACAGGGATCTCCAACCTTGCAACTTTAAGACTTGTGGACTTCAACTCTTTGCTGGCTGAGGAATTCTGGGAGTTGAAGTCCACAAGTCTTAAAGTTGCAAGGTTGGAGATCCCTGGACTAGAAGACCTGATAGTTCTAAGTTCTGTGACTGCAGATATTATGTTTCCTACCATCTGTTCCTTACACTGTTGGAGAAACCTAAATTTTATGGTGATGTACGAGGAATACGTCATCCATTAAATTAAATGCTGCTGTACTACAGGATGCCTAGAAGATCTGCTCTTATCTGATAGATATGCAAAGGGAGGCAAACAAAACAAAAATATATCCAATTCTCATCTTTTTCAAAGTTAAGACTTAGGTTGCCCTTTCAGAAATATTTTATTGCTTTGGAAATACAATTTCTTCCAGAGGATATTCCTGTTTGGAGTCTGCTTCTAAGTAAATTTCCCCAGAGTCCTTTACAGTCCCAGCGCTGGAGAGCTTTATTCCTGTTCATGGGAACAGGGCGGTGGATGAGGGGTTATGAGGGCAGTGGATGAGGGGTTATGATCGAAGCGTGCTATCAGATTTTGCATCCGCGCATCCTGCAAATCTTTTAGGCTGTTAGGGTTGGTTCATGAAACTTAAGAGTTCATGGATAAAGCACAGTTTTTTCTTGCTCTGTTAAATCAGTTTGCCAGGTTTAGAAAGACCAAGACATGGAAGAACAGAGGTGCATCCAGATGTTCAAAGCCAGGTCAGAAATATAAGAATCAATGAGCCTTAAATCGTTAGCTGTTCAGAGCAATCCGCTAAAAGGAATGAAAGTAACAACTATGCAATTTTTGTTAACGTATACGGAACCATGATGAAGGTGTGATTGGTTGGTTGATTGAATAAGTAAATAAATTTTATTCACACACTGCCTTATCAAGTCTACATGCCTTTCGAAGTCACCACCTGAGTTAACTGCAATTTATTCTTCTCAATTATTGCCAGGCAATCATTTACGGAATTTTTTTTTAACTCTAAGGATGGTCTAAATTAAAACCTTAGTTTTAATATAAATTAATTTTGCTTTTCAATTTAATTAAAAACAATAGCACATTGGCCAAACCAAGCTGAATAAAAATCAACCTCCATTGAAAGTTTACTCCAATAGCTTATAAAAAAGGAAAGCCTGTTGGTTAACTTGGAGGAGGAGGAGGAGAAGAAGAAGAAGGAGAAGAAGGAGAAGAAGAAGAAGAAGAAGACGACAGGAGGAGGAAGAAGAAGACAGGAGGAAGAAGAAGAAGAAGACATGAGGAGGAGGAAGAAGAAGAAGAAGAAGAAGACAGGAGGAGAAGAGGAAGAAGATTGCAAGAACATACTAACTGTGTTCATTTTTCTATAATCTTATCATAGATTCTATGATCCCTTTTTCTTTAGAATAAATCTGGATAAAGAAACCTCTCAGATATTCTTATTATTAGGTTGTCCTAGCGCAGGGGTAGGCAATCTTAGCTCTTTTATGACTCAGGGACTTCAACTCCCAGAATTCCTGAGCCAGCCTGGCTCAGCTTGGAAACCTCTCCCTGTCGCCTCAGCATGGCTGGCTCAGGAATTCTGGGAGTTGAAGTCCACGAGTCATAAAAGAGCCAAGGTTGCCTACCCCTGTCCTGGCGTAATGTCTGGGCTGCAAAGATCGAAGTGGCCACTGGATGGCAGGAGCCCTGCACACACACATACTTCTTATCTCTTACCTGCCATCTTGTGCTCACTTAGATTTTTGCAGCTTGGACAAGGATGCCCTCTACTGGACTTACCTAAACAAAATATAGCCTTGGCTATTGTTACCCTCTAGTTAAATAGTTGTTTCTTGACTAACACAATCTATTTTTGGTCCATGATTCAACCTATTCAATCTAAATCAAGAACATGGTTAAATTTATCAGTCAACCAGGTTTAAGCATTTTGTAGGAACACAGCATGACAATATTTTGGTGTTCCCATTCTTCGGTTTTCATTTGTGCATGTCTTCTCTCATTCAAAATGGAGCATCTCTCATAAAGAAAGAGGTCCAGGACACTTTGATTGGCTGTTCTGTTTTAATAATTCCATATTACCTTAATTCCATCAAGTGTTGCATAAGAGGAGATACTGTATTTTGAAGGTGGTCACCTAAAAAAAATCAGGTCAAGATCTCAGCGGCCACCAAGGACGCACGTTTTCCAGAGCTTATAATTTAGCCAACCAGGGCAACAAATATTTCTAAATTAACTCTGAGAATAAATTCCATCCTTCCAGCATGCATGGAGCTTAAATAGCCCCATAATTCTAAGCAAAACAACCAGTGAATTTATCATTTGTTTTGTAGAGGCTGAGTGCGCCATTCTTTCTGAGCTACCAGGGAACGCATTTTATTGAATTATGCTGAAATGCATGATTAGAGCTGATCTTCTCAACACATCGATTGTGTTCTTCAAAATTGTTGGGTTTTCCCCCTCTTTGGACCTTGGCTCCAGAGATGACAAGAATGTCTACAGAGTTGACCAAGAATTCTAGCCATCCTTTTATGGCATAATAGCCTAATTGGCATAGTCTGTCATTCACCAGAAGCGACAAAACAAGACAACAGTTGTGCCTTCATTTATTTCAACAGCATACCACTGTTTTACAGACCCAGAAAACTGCTAAACGTTGGTGGCATCTGTAACGGAGAGAAGAACTTTTGAGCTACAGTTGAGCTACAAAAATTGCATTAGAGTCAAACATCAGTCACAAATTCCTTGTCAATAGGCTCTTGATGGTAAAAAAATGATCTTGGTATCTATGCCTGAGTGTGTCTTACGTTTGTTTTGACAATCCTGTATCTGAGCTGAGAGCTTTGCTGAAGAACTGAAAATTAAAAGAGAATGTGAAATAACTGAATTGTGCCGTTAGTACAATTTATTAAAGTCGTTAAGAGAAAACCAGAAGAAATGGAAATATGGGTATATAAAAGATTTTGTTGATTTATGTACGCAGTTTAAACCATTATTAAAACGTTATGGTGGCACCATTTCAAAATGACAACTGGAATCAGGAGGTCCTCGGGGGCGGGATGGTTAAAAAAGTCAAAATGGCAGCTGCAACTTTACAATGGCTGCTACAACTTTACAATGGATCTCCCACCACATCATAAAAGTGATCTTCTGTGGTTCAACACGGTAAAGAATTTAACAGTTTGGAATCAATCAAGTTATTCCTTGTGTGTTCTGGAGGGGAAGGATTTTGGAAAGTCACACAAATAGAACGTGGGTGTAACTTTGTGTAGTAACAAATACTCACAGCCTTTTAAAAGTATGGACTGCAGGGGGGGGGTAGGGAGAGTGAAGGAAGAGATTTTAGTCCAGAAACAATTTTTTTGTTCGTTTATCATTTTCTCAAACCAAATACTGATACGATTTCTTGTTTTGGAAGCATGAAGAATGTCCAGTTACTGGCAACAACATGGAAATGTTTCCACATTGGGGATTTCCCCCCCCCCCCAACTTTCTAAACCATCCTCTCTCCAAGACATGACTCTGTTTAGCTTCCATGCCCAAATGACATTGGTCATCTACTGCCACCTGCTTTGGAAGTAAGAGTGAAACAAGCACCTTAGGAAGATAAGGGGGGGAACAGATTTCAAGCACTGCTTAACAAAGCTGAAAGAAATTTGAGGAGGTGCCTTGAATCCATGTCTACAACTCGGAGGCAACTTTTCAGCGTAACCTTGTGGTTTTATTTGGTTATACACCCAGACGTCAACAACTTCTGGGCAGCTTTGGGTCACGTGCCAATCTTGCATCCATGCATTTAATATCACAAAGGCTGCAGAATTTTAAATAAGAAAGGCAGCTGATTAATAATTATTGGTTTTCAGTTCCTTGCATGGCACAGTTCCAAAAGCCGGGGATGGTTTTATGCACATCCATTTCACATCCGTTCTAACGAGAAAGACTCCTGTAATAAAGTTTGCTTGATTGGGCAAGCATCACTCTATGTTCTCTTGATGGACACAAAGCATGTCTATGGAGATGCTCATTCATTCAGATCATGGCTGTCCCAAAGATGCTTTTTTCATGAGGTAACTGGACTTTCTTCTTTTTCTTTGAAGACGTTTCGCTTCTCACCCAAGAAGCTTCTTCAGCTCTGACTGGATGGTGGGGGAGTGGAAGAATTTACACTCCTTGCAGACAGCTGGTCATTTGCCTTCTTTTGGAGAGTCCTGGAGGTTTACCTGGAGGTCATTGAGGCACCTGGATAAACCTCCAGGTGGCCTCAACGACTCTAAAAGAAGGCAAATGACCAGCTGTCTGCAAGGAGTGTAAATCCTTCCATTTCCCCACCATCCAGTCAGAGCTGAAGAAGCTTCTTGGATGAGAAGTGAAACGTCTTCAAAGAAAAAACAAGAAATAGAACACAACAGTTGCCTCAGAAGTACCCAAAGCATGATGGATGACTTACTCAAAAGAATTGTATGTTCTCTCACCCTGAACTGTGACTCACGGAACTACGGAAGGGATCAGAAAGATCATTTGGGTCCAAAGTGCAGGAAAACCAAAACCGTTTTAAAGGAACTGGACGGCAGCCTAAAGCAAAGATGCCATTGAGTGTTGACCTTCCCCATTGGGTCAACAGCATCTCCTGTGTCCAGAATCGGTGCTTTCAATGCTCAGACCGGAAGTATAAGAAGAAGCTTCTGTCTGGCCAGTTCCTCTCACAGTTCCTGGAAATGAAGCCAGGATCATGAAGCAGGGATGGCTTTGGGAAGGGCAAAGAGTCATGGCCATAAGTGTTTTAACCCCCTGCCCCCCCACATACCTCCCAAAATGAAAGTAACTTCCTCCCTCCCTCTCTCCCTCCCTCTTTCTTTCTTTCTTTCTTTCTTTCCTTCCTTCCTTCCTTCCTTCCTTCCTTCCTTCTTTCTTTCTTTTCTCTTTCTTTCTTTCTTTCTTTCTTTCTTTCTTTCTTTCTTTCTTTCTTTCTTTCTTTCTTTCTTTCTTTCTTTCTTTTTGTTTCCTTGGCATTTGCAAGAACTTGAGTCAAAGCTGGACCAGGAGAAAAATCTATTTGGGGAGGTCACTAAAAGCCAACACCAACTTAACAGCACATGCTCAATTAATCATCATTATTGAAACTGAAAAAAAGGATCCCTTCTCAAAGATGCCACAGATAGCATCAAAAGCTGAGGAAGACACAGCATTGTAGGAAGCAAGCTACAAATGACGCCCATTACCAAATTTTGAAAAAAAATCTCTAGTGGCTTAATATTAACTCTCGTCATCTTTGCAAAATGTTTACAAGGGTGGGAGTATTTGTTCTACTCTCAAGGAAAAAAAACTGAAGGATGTGTGATGTTTTCCTATTTGCATAACACGATCCCTTGTTTTATTTATTTTTTTCTTGGAAGATGTCCAACTCTGAACTGAATAGCATTTGGGAGTCCAGGCTAGCGGTGGACACAGTGTGGGGCTTATATGAATGGAAGTCCACCTGAAGATGTTCTGAATCTAGACCTACTGATGGATACAAGATCCCCCAATCGCCATCCCTGCCCATAGATTTAAAAACAAAAAACCCATGGCATCTGCCCAGGCAGAGACAGTTCCTGCCCTTCAACACAACGGGAGCTATTGCATTTTCTGCGTTGCATGAGAAAAGCACATCTTCCTTCCCCTGTCCTGACCACTTTCTACAGGGGGACGATCGAGAGCATCCTGTCATACAGCATCACAGTCTGGTTTGGAAGCATCCCTGCTTCAGACAGGAAGGAGGTGCAGAGAGTGGTGAGGACGGCAGAAAAGATCATTGGCAGCTCCCTCCCTCCCGTCCAGGACATAGCACAGAAGTGCTGCTTGAGCAGGGTCCGTAAGATTATCTGGGACACTACACACCCTCTTCACAACCTGTTTTCCTTGTT